CGATTCTGTGCAACAGAATAAAATATTTTATTAGAATATAATTAACGCTTTGGAACCGCTGAAGCGATTTTTCAGCCGAGCTCCTTCTCCTCCAATTTGTGATTTTGCGTCTTGATGTTTTTCCAACCAATGGAGGGACCTACAATTTATACTAAGCCGCCTCCGTACGGCTGATATTTTTTTTTTACGAGGAGCTTTTTTATTTCATGTTCGAAATACGCTCGGAGGGGTGGACATTCCCTGTCGAAGGGGGACCGCAACTAGAAAATTTACCTTATTTTTTTATGTTAAATTAATTTTCCATAATATAATTGGATTTTGGTAGCACCGGAATATGAAGCCGGGCCTTCCGAATGTCGGTACGCAATGCTAGCCACTCAGCTACCGCGGCCGATATATCATGTTATATTATCTGTATATATGTACATACTCGTACGTATACCATAGATGCTCGTATGTGACACAAATTTCATTGGATATTCGAATTCGGTGGTTCGATGAATAATAATAATGAGAGTAATTAACACTCAAAATCTTGTTTGAGTAATGGTTTGTATGGGAAATTATAAGCTTTTGATGTTGATGACTCACACGCTTGCCGATAATTTTACGGATGTCGCGATTCGAGTTAAGTTATTAAAAACGTTCTATTGTGAAAAATATTCAAAATTGTATTGTGGTATTTTTCCTACAACTCAGTTAATAATACAAAAGAAAATATCGTTCGATCATCACTTTCGATCAAAGACGAAGATTAATTAGACTAGAAAACTATTAAGATTAGCCTACATTAAGCGCCTTGATTGCCGTACTTCTTCAAAATCCGTATTAAATCTGTGTTGTACTTTTGACATGAAATACAAGCTCTCCATAATTAGGATTCAATGGCCATTAGCAGGCGGATTAGATTGACTGTAAGTCTCCGCAACAATTGGAGAAACATCAAATTGGAGTATGATCTCGCCCTAGATTGGAAGTGGGATTCGGTTACGGTGGTTACAAAACACGAATTAAGTTGGTCTAGTAAAAGGAATCCATTATTTTTGCATTAAATTCAAGTCTCTATTCACCATATTTCTAATTATCCGATTTAGGTAAAAGATGCACCATTTTGCTTGTCCCATAGAGACCCTTGGCAAAAATGTGGACGGTTGATTTTAATTGGCTTCTCTTGAGGCAAATCTTCACCAACCGCATCATTCAAATGCCAACGAGTTCTCAGAGCTTTTGGCCAGTCATTATCGTTGTGTGTAGTCTGACGTTGTTCTGATGAAATATAATATAATTCCCTTTCAGTCCGCATTGTTACGATTCAGCAGCGATTCCACATGGAAATTCGGTCCATAAGAATTTTTCTTGTTAAATTGGCTTCACCACAAATGAACTTTTTTGTGCATCCAGCTTTTTTCAAACGGTTCCAAACTATTCTGTCTTGCAATATTTAGCTCCTGGGCAATCAAATCAAATTTCATTTTTTTCATTGACATTTTCGATAATGACTGTGGAGCATCTACATAAAAATTACCGGAAGGGAATCGATGAATCCAAAGTCGTGCATGATTCACTGTCACAGTAACAGGACCATAGCACTATTTATATTTTAAGCTGCTTGAATTGCGTTTTCGCCTGTATCGAAGAGAAATTGTAGAATATCGCATATTTTCAATTTACTGGTGACCATCGTCTTTCTAACGCGATCTAGCGTAATCGAATCGAAATTATCGAACCTGAGTTATACGTGTAGACAAAGCCATCTATTGCAAAAATAATGGATTAGTTTTTTAGACCTAATAGATATGTAGTTGAAAATAATTTGAGTTCGCACTTTGTTCTAACTTGGCTGCGACTAAACATTTTTTTATGACTCCCAAGCTAGCGTTTAAATAAATCTCCGAATGGAATCTAATTAATCATAAGCTTCTTTTCAATGGAGTTTTTAAATTCAAATTTTATTGGTCAAATTCAGTCAATTATTTGTATGTAAATACAATTAGTTATTTTTTAATGTTATTTTTATTAGTTTTATTCCATAAAATTGATTAAATAATCAGGTTGGATATGCTCAAATGCACATCATCAGTGTACTCATAAAATCTTAAAATCTTCTTGATTGAAATGAATGAATCTGTTCGTCTGCCAGCCAGATTAGCTAAAGCAAAAAATTAATTTTAGTGCGCGGGCTTTTTGATACACGTATGTATTGAAAATGAAGAAACTACTATAATATGCTAATCGGTTAAAGATTTCAAAAATGATTATTTTGTAACTTAAACTGATTATGTCTCGCTATTAGGATTAAGCTTATAAAAATCTATTCACTCCCCGATAATAAAGGGTAAATTTCTAGTTATTATCTTTTTGGCAACACTGGTTTAAACAGCTGACGCACGTTTCGTGTTTTGTATCACTGTCAAACATCTTCAGTTTGGTCTATAATTTGACCCGGAATCGTCTTACAAACAAACAACGCTTGCAATTATTGAATTTTATTATCCAAATTCGTGTTCTGCTTAAAAGGTTCATCGCGCACTTCTTCCGCGCGTGCTCATTATTGGGCTTAATGGGTGCGTAGGTAAGCAGAATTGTCGATTTTGGAGTGAAGATCAGACAGAAGCATTGCAAGAGCTACCAATGCATCCAGAAAAAGTCACAGTTTGGTGCGGTTTATGGGCTGGCGGCATCATTGTGGAAAGTACTTCTTCGAAGATGATGCGAATCGTAATGTAACTGTGCCCAAAATGCAAGAGCTTGACTTGCATGACATGTGGTTTCTACAAGACGGTGCCACATGCCACACAACAGGCGTAAAAACGGGCTTAATGAGATGCGAGTTCGGCGAACATTTTATTTCACGTTCGGGGCCGGTCAAATGGCCACCTAGATCGTGCGATTGAACGCCTTTAAACTATTTTGTGTGGGACTATGTTAAAACTTATTGTCTGTACAGACAAGTCCGCTTCAACTGACGCATTGGAGGACAACATTGAAGCATTTATTCGTGAGTTACCGGCCGAAATGTTGGAAAGAGTAAGCCAAATCTGGACTAAGCGGATGGACCATTTGAGGCTCAACCACGGTCAACATTTGCATGAAATAATCTTCAAAAATTAAAATATATGGATCGTAATATCGATTCAAATAAAGATTTCATGCATTTTTCTGAATTTTATGTGTTTATTTTGAAAAACTTCCCCATAGCTCCTAAAAAAAATCACCCTTTACGATGATTAATTCTACTAATAGTCTTTCAAAGGAAATTTTATTATCGACGTAATTAAATAATATGCCCACCAGAGCCGATCTTTGTCTTTGCCGCTTAATAAGAGCAGTTAGGTATCGAAATGTGCCGAAGTGTTGGTTTTTTTATTGATTTCACTATATTTATGCATATGGATTTGTAATCAATTTACATTGATAAATATGGTATAATTAAAGTGTTATAACATGATCATTAGCCTCGACTTTTGTTGCGTTATTAAATGCTGAAATATGCGTATACTTCCGGATGCGGACAATTTTCAAAAAGAGGTTACGCTTAGGCTAAGTGCATTATTCATATAAACACCGCGCTGTGACGGTTCGAGTATTCATAAGACAAGACATTGTTCTCTACAAAGAATGTTGTTAGGCTAGACAATTGTGTTTATTCGGAGTTCTATTTTCCTATATGACTGGGCATACCAATAACATTTGCTCCAAGTCAACAAAATAATCGAAATTTGTGCTGGAGTTAGCGTGTATCTTAGATAATTTCAATCTTTTCGCTCATCGCAGTGAAATGATCTTAATTTTCTTATTATCCTCTATGCGGGAATAGTGATTTACTTATACAGAAACTAAGCGCTTATTGTTTCTGGTATTGTAATGAATGCCTTAAATGTATATCGCGGACGTTTGACGGTAAAATTGTTTCACCTACAGGCCAATTCTGTCGAGGTAACAAAATTTGCTTTAGTATTAAAATCTACCATTCAGTAAATTTTGTTACCATTTCGTATTCTGCGCTCATTGTTACCCTGTAAATTTTTTTACCAGCGGAATAGGAGGTAACAAAAAAATCTGCTGTTTGATTTTGTGTTGTTGGTTTGATAAAAAATAAAGACCAATATGGGTATTCATATTTTAATCCTGGAATTCATTGAAGATGAAGAAAAAAGTGCAAAAAGCCGTATTTTTAGAAGTTTTCGGGGCTAAAAAATAGCCCTTTAATTTGTAAGATATCATACATACAGCTTTTTTTGTTGTCCAGGCATATTTTCCAAAATTAGGTTCAAATATTTATGATTTAATTAACAAATTAATAAAACTCATTTATTTTGAAGTGCACCGTCTTCCATTTCTTTCTGAATATTATTCTTTTTTGCTTCACCAAATGGAAAATGTAATTTGACAAGGACGAGAAAAGCAGAGCTGCCCAAGTTTTTTCAAACATTGTAATCAGTTCGCCGGAATACCAAATTCAATTTCGCGTGTCAAAAAAAAGTAACCAAATTTAATTTACCGGTAATAGTGAGAATAGGCCTGTTAGGGGCGAAATTGCCAATTGAATTAGAAACGCTAAATTGTATTGTTCGTTCTAGATAAAAAAAAAATAAAAAAATTTTCGAGATTTGGAATTTTTTTGAGGAATAAAAGTCACATAATAAAATTATTCCAGCCGAGCTAAAATGAAAAAGATTTTTAAAATTACAAGCTATTTGTAGTCCAATAATGCCGATATCGGAAGCTGCAATTTACTGGCATTATTTGGAATTAATTTAGTCCGACAAATTGTGGATGTAAACTTTGGTACGTATACTGCAATACATGTAAAATAAAGAAAAAAGTTTTTTAAAATATACCCATCAGAATAAAAAAACAAGTAAATGAACCGTTGGTTTTGTTAGGCCTAGAAAGGGAGCAAATATTTGGATCGGAAAAATGTACGAATTGAAGAAACTTCGAATCGAGCAATTGTAACTGTCTACACGGCAATAGCGGCCGCCTACAACTTGACATATTGATGTAATAATATAATATGTTCAAAAATATATATGTATTTTATTGTATTGGACTAGATATTTATTATATAAAATATTCGTAGACATTTTGATTGGCGAGTATTAGTTTCCTAGATGGTATTTTTTAATTATAAGATTTATGCAGCTAATTTTTTTACTTTACATCGGATTACATCAGATACTCTAAAATTAAATTAATTAAAAAGTAATATATTACATACTGTACACTTATGCATATATCTATCAGCCACAAGGAACTAAAAACGACTTGTTGAGTTTAATTTCAAAATTTTAACTGAAATTAGTGATATCATATTGTTCGTAAGCTGGAAACCTGTTGATGTTGTGTATTAGATGTACCGTGATGACTTGTTGCAATATCAATATTTGCATAATACAACGGTGGCATATTTGTCAGCGGCGATTTCATCATTAAAATTGGATGCACAGGAATATCATAAATCGTAGTAGGATTTGTACATGGATCCGTATGAGAGTTACTAGATCCTAAAGCGTAGTGCAAAAATGGTATATTACTAGCAGCTGAAGTAATAGTGTGTAGTGGAGGAAGTGACTGATGGCTAATTTTTTCCGTTGGAATTATGGCGTGATGGCTTTGCTCGATTGTCTCCAAGTTTTGAGTGTCTTTGGCTCCAACATATGTGGCATCATTAGTTATAATGTTTTTAATAGCCATTGAATCAAATTTATCTGGTGTTATAAGACTTTCAATAGTAAAAGAACGTTTTTGTCGAGACTTTCTCATAGCTGTTTCAACATCCATGATTGTGGGTAATACTGGTGGGCGGGATAAGAAAGTGGAAATCGTTTTATGATTATTCGTTAACATCTCTGGCTGGCCGTAACCCAATGTTAAAGCAGCTGGTGTTGAACTAGGTGCGGAATCTGTACTTCCGCCAGCGTGTTGTAGAGCTGGCACACTTGTAAAATATATCGAAGAATCACCAATGAATGGTAATTCTGCTTGAGCCATTGGTGAATTTTGTGTAGCACTGCCGGTAAAGAAGAAACGATTAAGATGCGCCCACGTAGCTAATTCTTCCTTTAAATAGTCTTTATCAAGTTTATGCAATTTAAAACGTTTCCGACGCCGCAATAAACTACCGTTTTCAAACATGTCAATAGCTTGAGGATGAAGTGCCCAATAGGCACCTTTACCAGGCCGCTCGGGCCTACGAGGGACCTTTATAAAGCAATCATTAAAGCTTAAGTTATGTCGCAAAGAATTTTGCCAACGTTGGGTATTCTTGCGATAGTACGGGAAACGATCAATTATGAATTTATAAATATCACTTAGCGGTAACATCTTTTCCGGTGAGTTCCAAATTGCCATTGCCGTTAATGAAATATATGAATATGGAGGCTTTTGATCGCCATATGATTCGCGCGAGGGTCTTGGCATATTTTGGAATTTTTTTTTTTTTTATGAGCTACACTTGTTTTCCTTTATGTTCTTATACAATTAATTTTACCAAAAACACACATGTTTATATATTGATTTTTGCACATTTACAAATGTGTATATTAAATAATGAGTTTTTTTTTTTAGTTTTAATTAACGCGACGAAGTAAGATTTTTTAAAACTTTTAACAACAACATTTTTCAAAACATTTATCTCTTTACATTGATTGTGCGCGAAACTCCAAACGAAGGTATGAATATCACTAACAGGAACGAAGGTGAACTATTAACCAAAACAAAATCTCAGACATACTGACGACAACCACTGAACAGAAACAGAAACATCAAATACACATACATATGTATGTATGTATGTCTATTCATATATTTTGTATGTAGAGCTGCAGTTGTGATTGTTTGAAAAGCATAGCAGTGTATACCATTACACGCAACCAACCAGAAACGCACAAAGCTTAATACTTGTTTTTGTAGAGTGGCTTATTCACACCCTCTCTTCGTATACACTCATCTACGTAAGAATGTTTGTGCATTCAAATGAGCAATACAGAAAAAACAAGACGGCAATATTGTTACCGATTGTAATGGCAAGTATTCTGAAGAGAACAGACAGACATCTGGGATAAATTTTAACCTACCCCGTGGCATGATAACACTGTAAACACTGAAATTTCAAAGGAGGGGTTTTCCTTACGAATTTCTCATTCACTGAACAAAATTTTCGTTTCCATATGTATTCAAAAACCCATATGCTCATACATACATATATAAATATATATATATGTATATGAAATGGTTATAAATAAACAAATATAGTTAGTTGTATAAACATATGTACATACATACAAATTTTGGAGGAGCCGAAAACAAGAATGAAATGTAGTGCGCTGGAAACCGGTTTAAAAAAATTCTGTTATTTCATCAAATTGGTGAATGCTTATTATGTATGTATGTATATGTGCAGATATGTATGCATACTTCTCACTATTTACAATTTGATAAGAAAGCTACTCACAGATTCTGATTTCTCAACAGAATACATCATTTATTCCACAATCGGACAGGTTAAGTGTTAGAAACAATTGTGTGGCGGCTAAAAACGATTTTATTTAGCTATTTAAAAGCCGAATTATTATTAATTACTGTTCAGGTTTTCTGTTTTTTTTCCACAATTCAACCCAGCAAAAGTCAATAAGTATGTTAATCAATACGAATATATTGCCGACAATTAATAGATTTTTTTTCCTTAATTTCCGTATTTTTCAATTATTCTTCTTTCCTAAAAATTATTATTTTTTTTTCAATTTTTGAACGCATTTTTCAGAAATAGTGAAACAATTTGGCATACATACTCGTATGTATTGAGGCAGTAAATGAACTATGGCTAACCTAATAATAAATTAAGCTCACATTCACCCTTAACTGGTTCCACTACGACTAGGTTCTTAAAAAAAGTATGGGTTTCTCAATAGATGACACGTTAATCCGCAGCGATGTAAAATTCTATGTTGCAAAACTTGAAAACTGGAGAAAAAACCACTCTACCCAAAGTCATTGTATTCAAATTCGTGAAAAATTAATTAAATAACGAAAAGGTAGAAGCCCAAAATATCAAAACTCTGCAAAAAAAAAAAAATATGACAGTTGGGTACTACCTCAGTTTCGCATGTACCGAATCCAAATGTTACTATAATATTGCTTTCTAGCAAAGAACTGACGGAAACCGGCTTCAGACCGTCATAGACAAGGTACAATCTCCCATAAGAGTCTACAGCTGGCATCCACGTCACTGTTGACAGTCATAACTTCGCGGCAGTAGATAATTTCGTTTATCTTGGAACCAGTTTTAACACCAACAACAATGCCAGCCTTAAAATGCTCATACATACAGAATCGCAGAATCATTCTTGCCAACAGGTACTACTTTCGACTGAGTAGGCAATTGAAAAGTAGAGTCCACTCCCGACGAACGAAAATCAAACTATACAAATCCCTCATCGTTCCCGTCCTGCTATATGGTGGGGAAGCATGTACGATGACAACATCTGATGAGTCGGTGTTAGAAGTTTTCGAGAGAAAGGTTTTGCGTAAGATTTACTATCCTCTCGAGTTGGCAACGGCGAATACCGCAGCCGATTGAATGATGAGCTATATGAGAGATACGGCAACGTTGACATAGTCCAGCGAATCAAAAAGCAGCGGCTACGCTGGCTAGATCATGCGGTACGGATGGATACGAAGTAGAGACGGTCCTGGCTCCCTTGGCCCTTGTTAGGTTTACTACAGCGGATTTGTGATAGGAGAGAAATTTCCGTCGCCGAGTACTAATATTCAGTCGCATTAAAGCAAAGAATTTCAAAATGTCTATGCTTTGTGCCACACGTTCCGATGGAAGAGAAGTACGATGTGGCCGAGAAAGTTTTCTAGGGATCGCCTGTAAGCGCTACTCCCGTAACAATGTAAGTCTGATCGACTTCACCTGGACCCGTAATACGGTTGTCTGTAGAACTGGATCGAAAATGGCGCAATCAGAATTGAAACTGACCAGACTCTGTGGAAGGGGTTCCGATTATTGATTTGCGTATCGGTTAGGTTTTCGAAACGGAATTTGTTTCGATTCAGGTTTTACAGAAACCGATTTATCAGTTTAAATGTCAGAATTAAACCGAGTAATTTTGTTCGTTGGCAGTATTGTATGCAAATTTCTTTGCAAGCGGAAATTTAATAAAATTGTAAGCCATGAACAATGGATTTTACAACCAGCATAGCCTGGAATACGGTCCTTGACGTAGCAATGGTCACGAGCTCTTCGTTTTCCATTGTCGATCATTCCTAAAATTATCCAGCATGGACAATTCAAACGTTCAAGAACCCTTAGCATTTCTGTTATAACCTTAGAGACTGTAGGTCGCGCTAAAGAGATATTTTAGTCCCTTAGACCGTTAATAGGAGCGTTCTGCCCGAAACCGCACATGCGCACATGTGGGATAGACAGCCTATCTAACTCTTCTTCAATGACATCCAGCGCTATTACAAAGGCTTCTTTGTAAAGACGATATTGGTCTATGGATCACATACAAACAAATTTTGTATCATCAAATGTTAAATGAGAATGCAAATTGCACTTACCTCGACTCTGACAGCTCCAGCGTATCGCTCTTATCCCTTACAATTTTGCTCTTTATTTTCTGGTTGGTTTCTCCAAATTCTTCTATCATAAAAAACGCTATCATAATCTTAATAATCACAAATGTGTTAAAGCCAGTAAACAAATTAAATAGAATAGCTGACAGCTGATTCGAATATCGGTTTTGCTTATCTTCGAAAAAAGCAAAATCAAGTCGGTTTCATAACACGATATCAAACGGATATTGGTTTTAAATTCCAATAAATAAGCAATTTTGTGTCGGTTTCTATAACACCCCTGAGTATAATAAAATCAATTGCTTAAAAAACAAAAAAATATATATGCAACGGACGGACTCAAACTAGATAACCAAGTGAGAGGTTGAGTCTTTGCAGCAAAAGTAGATACCACGATCACGTTCCGATTACCACATCCCTGCACTGCTTCCCAAGCGGAGACCACTCCAATCAAAGAAAGCCGTCTAGTTATGTCAAAAGATGCTTCCATCAATAAATATATTTATGCAAGCAGATAGCCGAGCGGCTTTGAAATCATTAATGTCTCAAAAAATCTCCTTGAAGATAGTCAAAGACCTATTAGTGGGCCTAACATCCTACTCAAGATAAATGTAGCATAATCTTAAAATCAAAATAATAAAGTTACACGTTTTAGTTTCGACCCAATGTTTGGTTGCTTAGCTTTATCAGGCAGTTAATGTGGGATTATGATATGTATCCGCAGCAATAGTAATAAGTTTTAAAACTAAGCTGTCTTGGCTGTGATTTCGATTCTTTGAACCATTTTTAAAAATTCTCAGTGAGGTTTTTAAATCCTTCCTAACTCAAGAAAACCGTGCCCTGTAGTCTTGTAAAGCTTAAAGATGGCTACCTCAACATTTCTACACTTCTAGCAAGGCCAGCGAAGACCCTTAATACCTTCGATGATGTTGTTGTTGTTTAAACGGAAATAATACAAATAAATAATTAAAAATAAAGTAACTAAAAAGGTTACAAAGGTGCTGAAAGAATTAAAAAAAGGAAGGTTAGAATAAATGAAGTTTGAGAGGCAATGTATTAGATGTAAGCCACGATCAGCTGATAGCTGATACGCGAAAGAGTGGGAAGAGAGAATGTAAAGAACAAATATATGAACAAACTAAAAAGAAAACGTGGAATAAAACTCCGATGTCAACTCAACTCATAGTACTAAAACTAGATTGTACTGGCAAGAGCTTGTATGTTTGTAACCCACTGTCCAACCTGTCCATTTAAGTTCAAGTCAAATGACGGCAATACAATAATTTTATAATTTTATCTTACTATCCTTACTAGGATCATCAGAATTAAATGAATCGAATTTAAAGGCGAAAAAAGTTAAAAAAAACAAAAAATTACGCTTTCAAGCACTTTTTTACTTACTTTACTGGCGTAGACTCCGCTCACGCGATTATAGCCGAGTTAACAACATTGCACCCTTTGTTTCTTCTTTATGCTGTTTGTAACCAATTGGAAACACCAAGTCCAGCCAGGGCCTTCTCTACCTGGTCCTTACAACGGAGTGGCGGTCTTCCTCTTCCTCTGCTTCCACCGGCGGGTACTGGATCGAAAAAAGGTGGAGTATTCGCATCCATCCGTATCATATGACCTAGCCAGCCTATCCGCTGCTTCTTGATTCTCTGGACAATGTCGCCGCATATTTCATACAGCTCATCATTCCATCGTCTGCTGTATTCGCCGTTATCAATTCGTGGAAGACCGTAAATCTTACGCAAAACATTTTATCTCAAAATCTTCTAGAGCCAACTCATCAGATGTTGTCATCGTACATGATTCCGCACTTTTCAATTGTCTACTCACTACGAAGTATCACCCTTGGCAAGAGTGATTCTGCGTTGGATTTCCATGCTGATATTACTATTACTGTTGA